GAAGAGAAGGTGAAAGGACATTTCTTTAGTACGACAGCTCATGTGAGCCACTTAAAGTCATGGCAGTGTCAAGCTGAATCAGAAGACGATGGGGATGACATTAGTGTTACTGGGGATAACGATAACAACATGCCGCATATTACTAAAACTAGGACACGGAAAAAGAATAGAAAACGATGGTGAATCTATATGACAGTTAAAGACTTTCGAACTATAAACATTAATATTACAGATTTAATTTTTTAAGTATAAGTTCTTAATGTTCCAAGGTCGTAATTAAGTCAGGATGCCGAATGTAAATGCAACGTATTAATTTTATTAAAAATGTATTTTCCTGATTGGCAACAACAATTTTTTTAGAACGGTAATGATTTGAACTGTAATGTTGATGGTAATGTTTCTGAATAAAGCAAGTATCTAACAATTAATGTTTGACGGAAATGTTTTAAATAAAGGAACTAATTAATTGCTAACAATTCTTTGCTAATTCTGGTAATCAGTCTGAATTTAGTATCTAATTTCATCAGATTTCTTAATTGTAAGTCAGAAACAATATCCAGATTTCATGTGAAAATGTGTGTGGAAGAATGGAAGAGATTCTTGTACTTTGCAGTAGCAATCTGCTGTAGAATCTAGGTCATGGTGATTGGTAAGCTTGTTGATCAAAGTGTTTTGGTATCTAAACAAAGTAGAGTTTTAATATTAACTGTCAGAAAATGATGTTGGCAACTATAGAAGATATTACTGAAGTTAATTTTATCTAGTAGAGGATGAAGAAAGTTGATTTTGCAGTAATACCTTCTGGATTTATTCTTGTGATTTGTTAATTTAAATTTGTAAAAATCTAGTACAAGGTCTTTTAATGAAGGCTCAGGTGCTGGGCACTTCTTCAGGCGCCTCGGCTGGGAAAGCCACATCCTGTATCTAGCACGTGTGATGTGGCATATCTTTGTCCTGGCATAACATGGCATATTACTTAAAAGAGGAAGAATCCTCGTGATAAGCAGTGAACATGATAAGCAATAGATGAGCCTTTCGCATAAACAGCACGAAGAGTTAGTCGTGTTCATGGCAGGAGATTCGAAAAAACCTAAGTGTGAGTCTTTTAATGAAATGAAGCCTTCATATCTAATCAAAATTTTTTAGTTGCATTAAGAAGTTATTATTGAAGGTGCACAACCATTTTAAAAGATTTTTGCTGAAATTAAGTAAATTTTTGAAGTTGTTCTATGGTGTAGTAGTATGTAATACAGGGGGAGTACACTTTTTTCCTTCCCTTTTGCCTTTTATAATTTTTTCACTAGTTGTAAGTGGCAGAGTTAAAATCTTCATTCTGCTGAATATGGGTACTAAGTCCATAAGTGTCTTTAGTTAGTTGAAGGATGAAGAGAGATTTTTGAAACAGTCTCCATCTCACTGAAGTCGTGCAACTGAAAATATTCTAATTGAATTTCACTCATGTAGTCTGGTAAGATGAAACACAATTAGGATTTCCTTAATTGTTGATGATTGTATTGTAAAAGACTAAACCCTTGAAAAATCAACCTTTTTTCATAGAATCAACTGTAATTAATTTACTATTTTAATATTTCTTCTTTAAATGAGAGAAATCTCCAATGTATTACAATTGTTTTGCATTACAATAGACTTATACCCCAATTTTCTCAAGATGATAATCTCACCATTTTATAAATATTTATATATCTATATATGTATAATATTTAAAAAAAGTTGGAGATATGTGTAAGAAGAAGGCCGCAACAATGGCTGATTTAAATACCATATTTGCTCACACATTTTTCCCTTTTTTATTAATTTTATCATAAGAAAATCAAGAGTAGAATATGATATGAATAATTTAATTTATGAAGGACAAAGTTATAGTTAGAGCATAACAAATGAAATGTATTTATGGATTACAGTAACCATTGCAATATTATTGATTTAAAGAAACTTAGCATTTCAATAGCAGTATTAACATAACATTACAGTATCTAGTAGATAGCTTCATTTCTGTTTCTGTGTATTTTGATTCTCGTCTGCACTTCTTGTTGTCCACTGTCACTCTCTAAGCCTCAAATCATTCATTGCTACTGGAACTGCTGTCTGTGTCATATGCTAGAGCTTGCAAGACATCACCATCATTATTCAGTCACTCTACCCTAATGCAATGATTTTCAGAAACATTAAGACCATTAGATATCACAATTTTTTTTTTTCTTTTTTTAAGCTCTTCACTGTAATTGCTTCATTAATCAGAATCCATGCACTCAAAATCTGAGATGAAAATAACCTTTGTATGGATGAATCCATTTTAAAATTCTCGCGAATTCATTTGCAATCCATTTTAGAAGTCTATTTTAAATCCATTTTAAAATTCTAAGGGTACTCCTTTATATTTCTCATTAGTCAAACATTTTGATAAACTAACATAATGGGTGCAATGAGTACCTTTTCTTTAAAACTACATTGATACTGATAAATGATTGAAATAGGTTTTAAACAGCATGCATTACCAACTGGCAGGACATAAGAAAAAGTTATGATTCACAAATAAATTAATTTCAGTTTAGATGTATTGTGCTTGGCTAATTAATAATACTCCAAAATTATTGGTTGAAGTCTTTATTTAAGTAATCTGCATCAGAATTTTATGTAAGAGTTGTATAATGGCTGTTCATTTTGAAATGTTGAAGTTTAGAGAAGTTCCTTAAGCAATTACTATTTTTTGGAGAGAAAGGTAAAATATCCAAACTAAAATAGAGGTTTAAGGGACTGTTGCAAATAAAGTTGGCATTTGCTTTACATGTTATTTATCTTATACAGTACAAAGTCTATAATTCAGACCTCAAAGCCACAAACTTTTTTTTTTGTATGCTTTACGCATGCACGTTTAATGTTTACGCATGCACGTTTAGCACAGAAAACGAAGCAACTTAAACAACTTACATCATTGAAAGAAGTGTTTAATAAAGTAAACATAAACAAATAAATATTAAGCTTCTTCTTTTTTTTTTTTTTTTTTTTTTTTTTCTTTCTTTCATTTTGATACTCTTTAGATCATAATTGCTCTTTATTTCATAAATTACGGTTTCATATTTTATTTGTATACTTTCTGCATGCCATCTTACCAGATTTAAATTGATGATCTATAATCTGGAATCGCCGAGGTCCTGATGAGTCCGGATTACGGTACATATATTAAAAATTTTCTTTGTAAGCCTTTTTGAATACCAAAATAAACTTTTGCTGTCAGTTTTTGATATCGTTCAAACCAGAAATTATTTCGTCCAACTTTGTAAAATTATTTTGCTTATTTCAGTTTATTTGCATTCACAGATTCTGTATAATTTTAAAGTTTCCACTAGCATTTTTCTTTTAGGGACATTTAATTTTGACTGTTCCCTTCCCATTGTAGGAGGTCTATAGAAGGTTAGCATATATAGTATCTAGAAAACAACATAGAAAGATATAAACAAAAGAAAGAAATCTTACAGTTCTTAACCCTCTCACTGCGTACTTATTTTATCAAAATAGGTTCAAAAATTGCGTATTTCTTCTATTATACATTTCAAATCTTCATATATTTTAGAGTTAAAATATACAAAATTTTTTTATAAAAGGTTTTTTTTTTTTTTTTTTTTTTTTTTTTTTTTTTTTTTTCAATATAGAATTAGATCATAGAAAAAGGTTGTCAGTATACTGAAAGTGAAGAATGGTGATATAAAAGGAAAAATTTTTAAATTAATATTGGTTAAATTATGATTTATTTTGTAAAATACAAAGGTAAAATATATATACTAATGAAACTATTTGCATAATGTAATATTTTGCAAATCAATTTTGCACCATTGTTGAATGTTTTCAATAGAAACTGAATTTTCAGCTTCATCACTATCTGCAGAGGTATCCGAGAAATTCTCATCAGTTTCACTATAACTACCTTCAATATACTTGAAATCGGAGTCAGAACTACTATCAGTGTCGGAAATATCGTCAGGAATATAGGTTATATCACTCGCAAAACGCTTCCAACGCTTCCTGCCAGTAATCTTTGAGCTTTGTGAAAAGCGCGCACAAAATGCTACATTATGTATTCTTGTATATTCGGCAGAACTGAGGACAATTAACGCTATCTGTTACCCACAACTAAATAAACAATTAAACATCACAGGAAAGCCGAAAGGAAGCCTTGAAGGGGGAAAGAGCGGGTTGCACAGTTAACTAGATGGCAAAAATTCATCCCCGCGGAAATCACGGGTTGCGCAAATTTTGCTACTTCTACGCTGCCCGTGGAAATCGCGGGATGTGCAGCGAGAGGGTTAAAGTCCTTAGGTTTTGAGGAAATGATTTTTTGTCCTTAATTTCGACCAAAATTGACAAAAGGTTTTTAATTTTTATGCATCTGACATTTCTGTGTTTTTATAACTACCATTTTGAGTGTGAATTAACATTTTGGAAGAATATTTTTTAGTGATGTATTGACAAATATGTATTTGCTGGGCTTTTTGAAATATGAGTTCTTTTATTATGTGGGACTAAATTTGGCACTTTCAACATTTTGGCGATTTCCAGATCAGTTTATATACAAAATTTTTTATTTGGAGATTTGCACATTTTTGAAAATTTTTTTACAAACATTTATAAATATCATAAATTAATGATAATGTATTAAAATTATATTTAAGAAATAAAATGTTTTTATTTTCTTTTGTAATATTATAAAGTGATATTAGCGAATGAGCCTCTGAGCTCTTTCTGGCTTGTCTTTAATTTTCCAGTCAATTTCTCTTATTTATATCGATTGTTCTTTCTAGCGAATGGAAGATTGAAGAAATGCCATCTGTTATTATCATCAAAATATTTAGCATTAAAATTTAAATCCTGTTAAATATAATCTAGTAGGCTATTATATATGTTCCCTGCCAAATTGTTAAATTTGACTCTTATGTATATCAAATACACTTATGAACTATATACATATTAAATTAGTGAACCTGTTGCAAATTTAGGATGAAATTACCAGTAGTGAATCTGAGGATGAACCTTTGTCATCCTTTCAAAAAAAGTCTTCTAAGAAGTCCGTTCCAAATAAAAGGCTAAAAAGCAGCAGATCAGTGGAATATGATAGGTATGCAGTCTTATATATTATGTATTAATCTAATGTTAACTCAAGTAGATAAGGATATTTTAATTTAAAATTATATTTCCTCCTCAATTTCTAAGAATTTCTTATGCTAAAATTGTAAACCCTTTTGTTGAAGCTTAGTTTCATGTTTTTGTAATTTTAATAATTATATTTGTATTAGTATTCCTCTTCAGCTCTCTAATTTATATTAGCTATGTTGGCTATTGAATTTAAATTGACTATTGATTTTCATCATTTCCTATTTTTATGTATGTGTATTGGAAGTGGAAATTAGTGAAAGGAAACAACTGAGTAAAAGTGCATAATACGTGTTATAAACAATAGAAATATATAGAGTAACATATGTTCTGTTGTATAGAATGTTATTGTATGGGAGAATCTAATGTAGTGCCGATTAACTGATATTTTTCACTTTTTTTACAAAGACGTGAAACTAGAGATAAAAATTAGTTATAAAAAATTAATATTATTAAGATGAACATATTATACAGTAGCTAGTCTCATATAGACTAGTGGTTCCAAATGTACTATGCCCAGCGACCCCTTCTCATAGCAAAAAACCTGACTATAAAGCCCAAGTGAAATAACTCTACATAACTGCATAATAGAAAAATTACAAATTTAATTTGATTGTCAGTAGTGATAAAATAGTATAAATAAAACATTTTTATATTTAAAGTAGTATTTACTTGAAGTTAGAACTTTTGTTTTAAAATACAAAAACACATGCCTTGTTTCCCACAAATGAGATGGGTAAACCTGGTAGGATGATATGAGATTATTTATGTTCATTTGTATGTTTGTGAGATACATGCAAATGTCTTCATGAACACTAATTTCAGTACTGTATGTTTCTCTATATAGGAAGTTGCAGGAAATCATTCAACAATTTTACTACAGTGACTTGTAACGCAGGACATAAAATTTGAATTTGTTAAGCAGTTAAGTGTTTGACAATAAACTTGCAAATCTTCTTGTTTTTGCAGTTGTGAAAGATTTGGAAATTGAGAGCATTCTCCTCTTCATAGTTTTTGTTTGTTTAAAATTTTTTTTGCAATAAATGCAGATATTATACTTTCAGTTTTGATTAAATTTAATTGATTGACTTGTAGCTTCAAACTGGTTTTGCTAAGTTTGGCAAGTCATATAAGCTCTATCATTTTTTTTAACCCCTTAACTGCCGCGGGCGTATATATACGCCCTACTCAGCCGATGCGTTAATTGCCCTGGGTGTATTATCCGTAAAATTATTCACAAAGCTTTGGAATGCAACACCACAATGACCTTGACAAAGTATGTGAAGGAGGATGCTATTTCAGAGAAGTGTGGGGAGAAATTGGAGAGAGGGGTGTGTCTAAAGTGGTGAAAGTAATGACTGTGCAGTATCGGCTGGTGTAGTTTGAGTAAAACTTTATATATATATATATTATTATTATTATTATGGGGCCTCCGTTTTCGTTTATTTTTTGTAGTAGGTTCCAGGAATAAAGAAAGATATAACGAATGCTTCAAACCCATTTATCTTTTTTGAATTATTTTTTGATGAACTGCTCGTGCTTCATATTGTTACTGAAACTAACCGTTTTGTAGACGAGTATATGAACTAACACCTTGCAAACGAAAAATCAAGAACAAAATCGTGGCATTCAACCAGTTCAGAAGAAAAATATATTTTTTTAGGCATACTGATTTCACAAGGTATAACACCGAAACCTGATATTACACTTTACTGGTCTAAAAATGAATTGATCGAAACTCCATTTTAGGGATGTTTTTTATTATAAAAACGTCATTTTTATTATACTTACAACTTTTTATTATACTTTTACACAAAACATTAAATTTTGTGCATTCATTTTTTTTCTTTTATTCTTTATTTTGTGACAGTAAACAGTTTTTAGAAAGTAAAACTTGTACTTATTTTCCCCCTAATACATTGCATAACTATGCTCGCCTGTGTGAAAAACCATGGCACTGGGAAATGAATCTTGTACATTTTCCGCAGCAGTTAAGAGGTTAATTAAATAAACTGAGCATCAAATATTTGTCTTTAATTTCCAGGAGTTCTAACACAACAAAGAGCACATAAAAGCTATCTAAACATAACACTTTCAGGTAACGAATGAATGTTGGGGTTAAGTAATAAATGATTATAATCTTCAGCATTTTCCAAAGCTGGAGAAATATTCTCTCATTTAAGGCATTCCTTTTGATTTCATTAACTGCTCTAAAGTATGCCAGAAAGCCTTGGTGTCATCCCCTCCCCACTGGCAGAGCACCTTCATTAGCAACGGAGAGGATATTACTTATGGGCATAACTTTTACATCCAAAAATCCTTTTTATTCATTAAGTATTATTTTTCATTTCATATTAGTTTCAAAATATTTGACAAATAATAATTCTTGGAAGTTTTTTCTTCTTTTACAAATCTTGCACAAGTTGAAAGTAACACTCTGTTTCATGGCAAAGGTGGTTTGTCAAGCTGAATAGTGAATTCAGATGTTTTTAAGAATTCACATAAATAATTTTCTATGCTCTGAGCCATTTTGTCAGTCTTTCTTTTTACTATTTCTCAGTAAAATTCTTATAATATCGAAAGCTGGTTTTTGCAACACAGTGTGTGGTACCTCATTTACAGCTGGTAGAATAGATTCCTCACCTATGGTGTGCGGCTTTCCAACTTTACAATCAATAAAGAAATGTTAGGGAAAGCGCACAGTGTATCGTCACCTCACTGAAGCTTTGTTGCAGTGACATTTTTAAACAGTTTTCTTTAACTGTTTTAAAAAAAAGTTACAGCTTTCTCTTTTTTGTCATTATGGATTTTCATAATATGTTTTTTAAGCTTCATTGGTTCGTTTGACAAAATTTTATTGAAGAGAAGGTATGTGGGTAAAGTACTATACCCTGGTAATAGAATAAAGTCATATTTTAATATTCAACACTATGGTGTTTGCATTTTTTATTTGGCTCACTCATACTATAATCTTTTAAAAAAAGGGGGGTCACAATATGCTTTATTTTACTTAGAATGTAAAAATTGCTTCCAGTTTATTTATTGCTATTTATTTTAATGTTCATAATAATAAAAATGGATCACGACTATTTTGCTATATGTTAAACCATTTGTAGACCCCTGCCATTATCTGTGCACCCCCAAATTAATTTTAATTTGTGACAGATGCCCCCTAGCAGTCATAAGAACCCCTGGGGTCCATAGGAACCACTGATATAAAGGGAGCAATAATATTTATGCAAGGAACTTTTGTATTAAACTTCTTATGATGTTTCACGAAAAATGCTTCTTTTAAAATACTCTCTATTCATCATGGTCCTGAATGTGTGTGTGTGTAAATTAATATGTAAGATAAAAAATATATAAGTATAAATTATAATTTAAATTAGGAATATCTCCTTATTTTCTCTTTTTTTGGATGCTTCTTGTGCCTATTCTAAAAGTTGTAATAACTTTTTCTGAACATCATCATTTTGAGTCTAATCATATCATACGAATATTATATTATGCTGGTGATGTAAATGGAAATAAAACTCAAACAGCCAATGATAATTTTGCTTTCATTTTTTTCATACGATGCCTTGTATTGAATTCAGAGTCTATAATATTGGACTGTATTTGCGTAATGAGTAAATGAGATTAGATGTATAAAGCAAAGATCAAATTTACCAGAAGAGGTGAAGAGTTGTATTGTCATCAAATCATGATTTAGTTGATTGTTTAATTTTATCATTTTTGATTGTCAATTGTGATTATTCTATACTTCGTACTAGCTAGTATCCAACAGAAATTTTCTAGATCCTGAGGTTAAAGGTTATTCTTTTTACTTGTCTATCAGGCGATACATTTTGAACTGATAGAGAGTTTATTAATAAATGGTCTCATCTTGGGATTATGATTTGTTGCAAAAAGATGTCATCAAAGAATCATTTACAACAATAATGGCACTAATTTCATTGAGCTGAAAATCTATTAAGATCGATAGATTGGAAAGAAATAGAATGACAGTCAACTACTATGAGAATAACAGTGGACGTTTAGTCTCCCAACTACTTCATGTGGGGCAGTTGGTGGAAGAGGTTGATACAAACAGTGAAGATGATGTTGAGAAATGTTCTTGGAAAGTAATAACAGAAGATACAAATGATATCAAGGCACTCGCTCCTTTAATGCTTCTTCAAGATGTATACGATGTTGTTGTACCAGATGTAGACCATCTGGATATTGTCAATCTAACAAAAAGATGTAATTTCTTCCAGAATTTCAGAGAACATTTTTGCAAAGGATTTCATGATGAACATTTAGCTATCCTAATGCAAATACTACCTAAGCAATAAACTGGGACAATAAAAAACTGACTTCTTATTTGTGGGTAGTGACAACAAGAAGAGAATCTTAGACAATAGGTTGTGTTATAGAAACATATCCTGGAAAAGACAATGAAGTACATAGTGTCAAAGTGAAAACTGCAGTGTGTGAACTTACAAAACCTGTGAAACATGTTTATCCTTCTGAAATTGATAGATTTAATTTTATTAATGACTTGACCATTAATAGAAATTATTCTATCAATGAGTGTGACAATGATATAAACTATTGAACTAGATATAGACATAAAACTGTAAAACCTGTTACGTATGTGTTAACTGATATAATAATTTTTGTTTTTATTCAGTATTTTAGAACTATCTTAACTGTAGTAAGTTGAAATATGTTATCTGGATTTGGTAAAAAAACATATTTAGATATGTAGTACTCTTTTGTATGTATTATTTTAATGCATTTTTAATTTTCATGTAAGTAAAAGTTGTATCTGGACTGTTGTTTGATTATTGGTAGATATTGTTTTTACTTTCTCTTCTTATCGATGTGAAACCAGTCGGTGGAGGATGACCCATTCTTGCCACTAAATGACTTGCGTCCTCCCCTTTTCTTCGTATTTTCTCTGATTGAGATTTGGGAACAAGAAAGAATTTGAATGTACTCTGAGTAGCGACTGAACAAAAAAGCTCTGTGTCAGGAAGAAGGCTAGAATATGATTGATAAGAGATAGCTGCTCTAAAATTCTTAATATGAATCTTGTAAATAGTCTAATTTAGTTCATTTTTCCTTTGAATAAAATATGCCTAAGGACAAGTCTGTCTCTTATTTTGAAGAAAAGTTTATTGGAACACCTGGCATTACAGACAAATAATGGAAGATGCATTGGGTGAGTGAATTTGATATTACTTTCTGTAATAGAGAACTTAATGCGATGGGTGCTGCCATCTAAATTACTGTAGAAGATAGGGTGTTTCTAATCTGAAAGATAGTAGAAAGACATGAGAAGTAAGTGGGTAGTAGGAACATACTAAGAAAATTTGGCTGTTTAAAACATTTGTTTATATACATAATATCATAGTCAACATTCTTACAAGAATTATACCAGATCATGCAAGATGATCTTTTTACACATTAGTACGTATTTCATGTACGTTCTGTTCCTCACCTCTCTCCACGAAAATGATTATTACACACACTTAACTGTAAAGAAACTGCATTCAAACAGAAGCTTTTGCAGACAGCTTGTCTACTTCATCAGCTAGAATCCAACGAATGACCTTCTCTTGTTCATTTCCTTTTTAGGGTTGCTACATATTTTTAGGTGTCACTTAGGTTTATTGTAATTTATAGTACCTAATTTGCTGAGTAAATCCGTCTTGCTGTGAAAAGTCATAGCATATATTCATTTATCATCAAAAAACTTCATCAAATGTTTTTCATTCTTTATTGTAGTGATGACAGTGACTATCAGCCAATACAGACTTCAAGAAAACAATCAAGGGCTAAAAAAAGACAGCAGGTAGGCTGAATGCAAAATATATATTGACTTCATATAATTATTTCTTCTGGGCATATTAACAGAAATTTTAGATCGGTGTGTATGAAATTTTGACATATTAGCCTTCCTAAATGAACTTACTTTAGAATTGCATAATTTTTTTAAATAAAAGGATAAAAAATACTTCTAGTACTTTGTGATTTTTGCATATAGGGAAAGGGTAAAACAAATATTATATCTTAAATTTCTATCATTACTTTTATAACTCTGCTTATAAGCAACTTATAATTTTTAAATAAATTAATTTTGTAATGCTAGTATATTATCAGTATTGTTAACTGTAGGAAACCTTTGCTTAATGCTTGTTATGTATGAAAATCCACATGAGAGTGAAATTGTTAAAGTGAGTTATTCATTAGTTATTCAAATTATTATTATTATTATTATTATTATTTTCAAGAAATTTTTTATGACCAGCCTGTAGCCTCTAAGTCCGAAATACAACGTTATATTATTGTGTATGGAGGTTTGAGCTTTTCTCAGTATCACAGAGTTCACTCAATAGTTATACTTCAAACTATTAAAAACATTATACACAGCGCAATGCAAAGTGCATCTAAAAGTGCAAGCCTGTTATGGAGATCTCTTAATACTCTGAACTCATGTTGAACTAAACAACTGGGGAATTGATGCTTTCTCCAATCTTATGTAGTTTTTCGCCCGGCCACTGAGAAATCTCTAGTACCTTCCACTTCTCAAAATTACTAGAAGGCATATGAGGGCCAAACACGGTTACAGTTGCATACAGGGATCAATTACAGTTATTCAGTTACAATACCATTACAGTCATACAGGGACTAGATCAAATGGTAGCCAAGTTTGGTGACTTCTGGATTTTCTTCTGAAATTTAACAACAAATATTAACTATCTTTACAATATTAAAATAAATATAACAAAAGCCATCACCAGCTTGCCGATATCTTGCCAATTTAGCGAGACGGCCATTACTTCATTGTTAAATAGGCTTGCCTCTGTAATTTTATTTTCCCAGCAGAGCTCAATATCTTTTAAGCATTTCATGTTGCATTATATATATTAAAAAAAACTACAACTTCACATATAATTTTACTAAAATTATTTACACATATATATAATTTGTAACAACATTAATATGTTGATTGCAAAAGCAAATGTCAGAATTCAAATCTGAGAAGCATTCATCTTAAAAATCAATAAAATCTTAACCGTATAAATGAGCATTATTCAAATAAATTAATTTTCTTGTTAAAATGTAACTGGGTCATTGTGGAAAAATGGTAGCGCATAGATCTGCCAGATTTTGAACACCAGCTTTCACTCAAATATGGCCATCTCAAAGTCTGATTTTAATTTTCCAATTTTGTTTTTGATTTATTTCATATTTTTTAAAATATAAAGAATTTTTTATTGAAAATTCAGCTATTTGAAAGCCTTGTGTTGCCTTTTTCAAGGTGTAAGATATTTTCAAATACCTTAAGAAAACTCAGCGATATAAAAGAAGTGTATAGCAAAATGTGATATATTTGTCTTTTGACTTTAATCGCACTGTTGAAAAACGATGGCAGCTGCTAGAACCACCAAATTTTGAATGCACAGTCCTTCACCCAAACATGTTCACCTCAAAGTCTGAATTTTTTTTATATTTATTGTTATTATTTATTTTATATTTCGTGCAAATTTAAGAAACTTTTTTTTTTTTAATTAGCAGTATCAAAGCTGTGTTGCCATTTGGCCAAACGTAAGATATTTGTTTCAAATTTAATCCCCCCCCCCAAAAAAATCAGCAATATGAAAGAAACATATTGCCACTCGGCAAAAAGCAATATTTGTCTTTCCTATTCAGTCATTAAAAGCTGTGATTTAAAAGTCCGAATTAAAATATTTTTAGCTTCCACATGACAGGATGTAGTGAGAGTTTACCATATATTAAACAAATTGCAGTTATGCCTTGAAAATAACTTTATGCTATAGTTATTAAGAAAAGTGAATAATATTTTGTTTTGTAAATTGAATAGTGATATGATTTTTTTATTTCAAAAGAATTGTATTTAGAATGAGAGAGCTGTTGTACCTGTGTAGAACTGCTCTTGAAAGGGAATAGTTTGTCTCATGATGTACACAAAATTTCTCAGTTGAAATCCAAACAAAGCATAGGTAATTTTTCCCATTAGTAATGCTCAAATCAGATGTAATTTCTATATCCTTTGCTCATATAATTTTTAATTGCCTTGCTTATAAGTATTTTTTAAAAACGCCTTATGAATGCTCAGAATTTGTAGTTATTTCCTGCTTCAGAATTTTAACAGGATGATATTATCTGCTAATGCATTTAAATGATACTGAACTGGTTGTTTCAAGTTGTTATTTTTCAATGATGGTAAATTTTCAGTTCTGCATTACCCACCCCACTCTCGGACCCAATTTCCCTTTTACATTGGATACCACAAGGCATCACATTTTAGAAAAGAAACAGTAAGTGTAAGTGGAGGGAATAAAAGACCTCTATCTGGCTGTGGAATATTTCTTTGAAATAACTGCAAGTTTATTCATGGAAACAAAATAGAAAATTATTAGATCAGAAAGTCCATTGGAGTTAATAATTGGATATTTATGTGACTCATAAAATTTTGAATTTGTTATTATACATTACATTCATTATAGCTCTTTCGATCATCATGTGCTTTGCAATCCAGCATAAAAATGAAATATCTTCAGGATTCAAGAGTGTTTTTTAATAAGAAGTACATATATCCAACTAGGCTAAGTTGACATGAAGATGCTCACAAATCATATCAACATTTTTACAATATAAAATACAATTTGGATGTCCAGAAAGACCTATAGAATATGAAAGAGCTTGTAAGTACTTATAATCAGTTCGTAGATGCGAAGAAGAGGTTTCATTAGCTTAATGGAGAACTCGTTGAACACAAGTACCTGATAGCTGTTTCAAACATAACTGCTTGCATTTTATAGTTACTTTGTGTAAGGACCACATTTACATGCCCTAATGAAGCAAATGAGTGAGAAGGGCTCAAGAAAGATGCTTCAGAAAAGAAACTGTCAATGGTTAATTTCCAATCATGTGTAGTGATGAAGGATGCAGATCATAACATGTAATTTGAATCACAGCTTGAAAATCTATCAAGAGGTCAAATTTTTGTTCTGATCATTCCAGGATTTTTTGAAGTAGCAAATAAACTGTGAAGACTTCTCTGTAAAAATTATCTGAACTCAAACTTAAGATTCATTAAGTTGGAAAAATTTAGAGAAACCATCTGCATGGCTCTTTTAGTAGTTTCTTTTGCAGATCTGTATATCTATGCATACGATCATCAACAGCATAACATTATGTGATGATAAACTTAGCAATAAATTTTTAGCTTGTGAGAATGTCTTTTTCTGAATCTGAAAAACAAAATTTTTCAGTTCCCTTGTTACTGAACAAGGCAGTTACAAAATTATTTATTAAAATCTGTAGTTAATTTGGCATTAACTGTGACTTTTAATGAATAATTTCAAAGATGCCTTATTAATTTAGAAGTTGTATTGTATATCCTTTATTGCAATGATTGTATTGATATAATATAATGTAATTTTCTTAATTTAGAGTGATGTTGCCAGTAGTGAATCTGAAGATGAACCTTTATCTTCCTTGCAAAATAAATCTGCAAAGAAGCTCTCACCAAATGAAAAAATACACTGCAATACTTCAGATAAATATAATGGGTATGCAAGTTAGTTATTGGACCACTGAATTTAGAACATATATAAATTAAGTTATACATTATCTGTAATTTTTAAGAATCTGATCAATTTTATAGAAATATTCAGTGTCGTATTGTTGAAAATTATTTAAATTATTAACTGAAGAAAAGCGATTGTGCTATCCTTTAAAATATATTTAATCTTTTCCTTAAAAATTATGTCTAGTATAGAAAATATTGGTATTCATAAGTTAGCGCCCATTATCTGAATTTATTACACACTGTATACGCTCATGTAATGTCCACACTTTTTTTGCTAAATTTACATCACTAAAATGTAGGTACGGGCGTTATACAGGCAGTTCAAATGTCATGCTTTTTCTCATGAGTAATTTTGAGTGCAAATTTCATTTCAAAAAGCCAAGTTAAGTTCTAAGTGGAAGAAAATGGCATAAGTAATAAAAGTATCATATTTAAAGTTGTGTAATAGCTACCTAAAATTTACAAATTCACTTTCTCCCATCCTCATATGTAACATAAATTGCCCCCATTTACTTTATCAACACTCGGCGCATATTAGTTCGCACAGGAGCACAATATAGAGGCACAAATTAACAACACTTGCAATTTTAATGCTTACTTTTACACAAATTAAATAAATATTAGTTCTTTTAATTTCTTGCACACATTATTTTGAAACAAAATCTGTTCTGACGCACTGTATGGAAATCCATTTTGTTTCATCATTCACCGCAACCAGCCTTCGCTCGCTTTGAACTGCGATGTAGAAATATCTTCTTCTCGTGCCGCTTAAATAAATATTTGTTCTTTTAATATCACACACTATTTTTAAACAAAATCTGTTCTGATGCACTGTATGGAAATCCATTTCGTTTCATCGCTCGTCGCAACCAACATTAGCTTGCCTTGAATAGCGATGTAGGAATGTCTTCTCGTGCCACTACAAGTGCTCTTATTTGGCACATTTCCCATGTTACTGCGTACCCTTGAGCATGCATATCATGAACATTCGCAACTACTTTCCCTCCCTAAGTTCGAAAACTTACATTTCGAACCACGAAGCGCATGTCTTGTTTTGTTCGTTGCTGTCAGTTGATTATGCTGTTTGCTCTAATTGCGCACACACTTTTCGTTCACCTTATATACCTTTGCTGCTGCTCTTTTTCCATTTTCCTGTGCAAATTCTACGAGTTCAGTTTAAAAGCCACTGTATAGTTGTATTTTCCCATTTCAAGGTTACTTGCTAACTACCATGAATTCTAAATGATACTATGAATGAAAAGAGAAAGCTTGAAATGTGTGAATGCTCCAAGAAGGAAGGAAGGGAAACTAATTTCATTACAAAACAGTATTTCCTGGAAGCCAGTGTGGTGAAAACCTGTTTGGCCTGCCTTCAATTATTGCTGGTGCCGATGTTATGACTGAATAATAGCTGCACCAGAGTGCAAGGAAAGTCTCTGCTGTCCATCCCCCCATAGCACAAAACATCCTCAGGATGTCCTATTTAAGTCGCAATATCCCGGGACATACTTAGGATGTCCTAAGGATGTTGATTCTCAGATGTCCTGAGGAGATCGTAATTTAACATCCTGAGGATGTCTTATTTAAGTCGCTATGTCCCGGGATATGACAGGATGTCCTGAAGATGTTGATTCTCAGATGTCCTGAGGAGTTCACCAATTTCACATCCTGAGGACATTCATTCTGCATTGTCCGGAGGACTTTCGTTGTCAAACATTTTGAGGGATATTTGTTCTCAAATTTACCAGTTTTAATTTTTTGACATTGCACATCTGAAACTTGCACATTATTTTATTTTTCATGTGTATTTTACTAAGTTGTTTCTAAATGCTGTACATTAAAAATATTGATATGATTGATGATTTATTCTTGTTATTTTGTTATTAATTTTAACTGCTATTTTTTCTGACGTTTTTAAAAATTTATTTAGTCATGGAAAAGATTTTTTTCAATGGATTAGCATTTTCTAGAATATTTGCAAAATTCTAAATAACACATATTTTTTTTTATAAAAAATGTATAAATTACATGTATAATTAACTTACAGATTACAAACCCTACTACAAATACAGGTAAAATTAGATATAGATATATTAATTACGGAAACGAATTTTTTTTTTTTTTTTTTTTTTTTTTTTTTTTTTTTTTTTTTTTTTATTTGGGTATAGAGACATTAGGTATTTTTTGGAAGCAGGAAATATGAAAAATTAGCAACTGCCTTCGCCGGGAATCGAAGGACGGACCTCTGGAATACCGGCCCAGTGTGGCAGAACCACTACACCACGAAGACACGTTAGGTGTGGTGGTGTGTATTTAATTATGGCAAAGCACACTAGGGCTATCTGCCTAAGGGGAGGATGTCTTCGTGCAGGACTTTCTAAGGGAACTGGCTCGTATACACGTTACACGTGGGGAAAACCACGAAAACACCCATGCAGCCAGCCCGTTCGCGGGATTCGAACCTCGGATCGCACTACCAGGGTTCAGCGACTTTACCGCTCTCGGCCGCTGGTGGGGGGGCCGAAGACACGCTAGGAAACGGGAAGAATACCTTATATTACTTCTCCTTTTTAAAGGCCGACTTTTTTTTAAAGGGATCCAATCACTAAATCCTGGGTGTGGATATACCTCATCCAACACCTTTTTAGTTCGGGCGCCACTGTAGAGACATTAGGATTTTTTGGGAAGCCGTAGAGATGAAAAAATTAGCAACCGCCTTCGCCGTGAATCGAACCACGGACCTCTGAAATACCGGCCCAGCGTGCAGAACTATTACACCACGAAGACACGCTAGGAAAGCGGGAGAAATACCTCATAAGGAAAATTTTTTTCCTCTAATTACAGGACAGAAAATGTTTTTCAATCGCGCGATCTGTTATTGATCTTGAATTACAGTCGTGCGATAATTTCGCAGTAAAGATACATCTGTGATGATTATCCAAGATTCTAGAAACTTTGGTCTTATATAGAGATGGTCGTCTTATAGAAATAATGCTTAATATCAATATTTATTTATAATCTCAGAACTATTGGTCACTTTCAGAAGTTGTCGTTTGATAGGCGATATTCTATATATTTATTTACTGATACTCTCAGATTCCAAAATTTGTTTATATTCTCAGAAATATTGGATGGAAGGTGGTCGTCCCATACATGCAAAATTTTACATTTCATTAAAAATGAATTCGGCATTATTTAACTATTTCCCTATTAATTAATTAATTAGATAAAGAAAAAATTAGGAAATAGTACTGTTTATTACGGAATAATGTAGGAAGTTCTACAGAACTATATTCTTTCGCGTCATTGCACATTGTATCCGGCAAACTACTAGTTCCTCGTATTCTTCCGCAAATCCGTAAACGTCTGTCTGATTTGAAACGAAATCCAAAATGGCTGCGCCATGAGGTTAACTTGTATGGAATATTTTTTGTTGCATGAAAGGTAAGTTCAGTTTGCAATACTTGTATGTTTACTTTTTTTGCTTTTCGAATTTTGACATTTGACTTTTCGATTTATGTCATTTTGACAGTTAAATGTGTTAGCTATTACAGCTTTATGAATTGTTACCATTCTGTCGTGAATTACGTGTATCTCAATGGCTGGCTGTCTTTTCAAATATCTAATTTGCCCTGCTATCCAAATGCTTTATGACTGAATTTTTTTTAGTCTAGTTTATGCATTCAGTTTCAAAATAATATGTGTGATCAGATTGCTTATTATTTTTATGCAGCAATAAAAATTATGTTAAATAGTTTGAACAATTGTACAAAAATAAGAGTTTGCATTGTTTTGTCCAAAATATGTATGGTTGAAACATTATCTTAATCTAGTTTGTAATTCAAGTTTTTTTGGGGGTACTGTTCTGTTATTGGGACTAGAATCGAAATGTATGAACCTGTGTTCGTAAGTATGTGCATAGATGTGTATATGTAGACACACAAATATACAAGCATACATAAATACAATTCTGAACCCGGTCCTGATAACAGAACAGTACCTTTTTTTAATCTTTTTGAATATTTTATAAAAGGATTAAGCATTTTTCAAACTGCATATCATTTTAAGATTCGACTTGCAAGAAGACAAAATATGGTCATTCAATCAAATGCTTATGATTGCTTTTAACATTTTCTCATAAATATTGTTTGCATTTTTATTGTATTTTAGATACTTTAGTTATGTAAAGTGAACATGAGAATATTAGGAAAGCTGAAGAATTTGAATAGCTACCATAATATATGTATTTTTTTCATCCTGCCCATTGTTTTAGAAACAAATACACCATTATTATATTCTGGCTTATTTTATAGTTATATGCAGTTTAATTTTATGTTCATGTTACTGTAGTATTGTCATTATAATAAAAGTATTGATAATTTTTGTTGAATCTTGCAAGTTGCCTAACATTCAGAATTATTACTACCGAATTTTACTGATAGGTTTTTTTCGAGTTGACATAATCTGTCTGATAAATAAAATAAACTGGTGTTTAAATTATATGCATTTCTCTTAATGTTTCATTGAAAGTGAGATGGAAATATAAATGCTATCCAGAAAAGTGAATTCTTTTTGCCTGAAATAACAAACTGTACTAAATGATTAATGTTTATATCATTTTAGAAATGTCAATATTAAAGTTTCTCCCTCCCCCTTCTCTTCTTTGATTTTGAAATAATTTATAATAAAATAATATATGCATAAGTGTAATTAATGTAAAGTGTCATTCAATAATATAATTTATTTTTACTGATATTTTATATTTCTTATCTGGGTTTTCTTTTGGTGTTAGAAGGAGGAAAAGACTGTAATGTTTTAATTAAGGATCTTTTAAATAACACAGTTACAGTAATGTTTATTGAAGCAATCAGTACTGTGTGATTGCCAGTGATTGAATAATGTTAAAATGCATTGTTCATAAGGAAATTTGCTTATCTTTGTGTTATAGATTTTATTTTGACACAAGCTGAAATTTGAATT